TAAGAATATGTATTCTTTTACTCTCCCAAGTACATACACTGATAAAACATATTCGCCAACTAACTATCATTTGTAGTATTGCTGCCAGCATGGGGGCTTCAATGGAGTTTCAAGAGCGGTACCAGAGTCTTCGGTCCGAGCATTCGTCACCCATCGGCGTTCATTTAGGTAAAAAGCAGCGCTATTTGTTTGTTGCCGTAATATATATATAAGATAATATATGAAATAATAAGTGTAATATCATATATATATATATATTATCATATATATAATAGTATAAATATATATATGTAATATATAATATTATATACATATATATATATATATATATATATATAATAATATACGTGTGTGTGTGTGTGTATGTATGTATATATATATATATATATACATGTGTGTGTGTGTGTGTGTGTTTACATATATATATATATATGTGTGTGTGTGTGTATATGTATATATGTATGACATATATGAAGTTTGTGTATTTGTCTCGGTTTAAATCATGGTGTCATCAGCTAGTGAAATACGAGGTTGTATATATAATTAGTAGTAGGGTGCTAGTGTCTGATACCTCTTCTCCTTTCCTGGGCTTAAAGCAATCTGTATATCATAGAACATATATATCAGTCGAAATGTTTGTATGCAGATAAGCGCCACTTCTTTGCTGTTGAATTGACTGTCACCCGTTTGCATATACTCCCACATTCACTGTAATATGCTCACACGCATACAAGGACAATTGCTGGACCATATGACATATGATTGTACGCACATACACAAACACATATATATCATATCCCAAATAGACCCACATATCCACGGCCCAGTTTGGCAAGAACTGCTTTCAAGTTTTGGCTGTGGGCCGAATTAAATTGGCGTATCTTTCCCTCATTCTCTCAAGCAGACGATCTTATCAGCCATGAAGCCTTCCCGGTTATGAGAGGCGACTCACAACTCAACAACTCTTCACTGCTGTCTGCGGTGGCAGAGGACCGCGTGCTGGCGACCGAGAGTTTAGGTACACATTATATGTGTTGCTCGTGTACACTCTCATATGTGCGTATCAATTATTTATATATGTATAAAAATTTGTATCAATCAATATATGAATTTGTAAGAGTTTATGTATATGTATATGTGGGTTGAATGGGTTGATATATATATATATATATATATATCGTATAGCTTTATGTATATGTATATATACTCATGATTGCTGTGACAGATGACCGTATGCTAGCTGTTGAAAGCTCAAGTGCAGATTACATATTTTCTAATATGTATGTATATATGTATATTGTATGAAGATGTATTTTGTACGGCTTCAATATATATATATATATATGCGTGTCTAATCTTAGGCTGACATTTTTGTACGGCTTCAATATATATATATATATATGCGTGTCTAATCTTAGGCTGACATGACACTGACCTCTCCCCATGACATCTTGCAACTGTTACAATCCCTTCCATTTGAACGTCTTTGCGATCCCAAGTATATAAATACCATCTAGCATTTATTGATAACTACTCACTCCGGACCCAGATTTCTCCTTGCTATTTATAGAATTCAAACGCGCCATATATATATATTGGATTGAACGATTGCGTGGCTTTTCTAGAGCTGTCCAGGCTGCCACCAACTAAATATACTACCTGCCATCACCCACACTATTAACTTTTCGCGACATCATCTACCACCGTGCCATTTATAGACAACTACAAGGACACCATGTCTCCGGACGGATATGTCCGGGGCTTCTCTAGCGCGGTCAAAGCATTGACCTCTGACGGTGACGTAAATGGGGCCAGTTCATTACCCCCTTCCTCCAGTGCTATCACAGAGATGAAAAAGGTGTCTTCGTGGAAGGCTGAGATGATGGCCGCTGAGGCCGCGGATACGGGTATATGTATATATTTTATATATATATATATGTGTGTGTGTGTCTGTGTGTGTGTGTCTTTGTCTGTGTTTGTGTGTCTGTGTATGTATATATATATATGTGTGTGTGTCTGTGTCTGTGTCTGTGTCTGTGTTTTCCTGCGATGACGTCGATGTCGGTGTTGCTTTTGTGAGTTCGTTCGAAGCATGGCCCCCCGTTTATTGCAAAAAAAACATTACTCTTATTCATCCGGGTCGATATCGATACCCCTTCCGCTTCCTTACACCGGTAGCACATCGCACGCAAATACAGTAAGAAACAATACCAATTAGAGCCTAACTATCCGAATCTCAAATTTAGGCGATGACTAGTTTTCAATTTAGACGATACCTGATTGGATTGCCTGTTGTTTTACAAATACAGCCGCGAGTGTGGAAGATTACGGCGAGGCGTACACCAGCGGCAGTGAGGTGACCGTCTCGGAATCATCCTACACTTCCGACGACTACAGTGACCACGAGGTACATTGGGTGATGTTTAAAATCTATTTTTAGCTGCACTTTTTGCTATTTATAGAATTATCTCCACACTTCCGACGACTACAGTGACCACGAGGTGCATGGGGTGATGTTTAGAATCTATTTTTAGCTGCACTTTTCTATTTATAGAACTATCTCCACACTTCCGACTACTACAGTGGCCACGAGGCACACGGTTGACGTGCAGAGTCTATTTTTAGCTGCACTTTTGCTATTAATAGAACTATCTTCACACCTCAGATAACCACCGGGGTACAAATATTGTATTGTATGTTTTAAAAGTGGTGCGCTTGGCTATTTGTCCAATTATTTGCACACCACCGAAAACTGCAGTGGTACATGCAGGATTTGCAGTATCTATTCTTATGCTTTTCGGCTATTTATAGAAATTTCTCTACACGCCAGATTACTACCGAGGTACGATCGTTGTACCTTATAAATACGTTTAGGGGTGCGCTTAGCTATTTCTAGAATTATTTGGATACCTCCGATATCTTCAGATCTATATGATTTTAGGATCTATTTTGAGGGGCACTCTAGGCTGTTTATAGCACTACCTTTACACGGAAGACAGTGCATTCCATGCTTTATATATTCATGGGCTTTTTTGACTAGTCACCAAATCATCCGCACATATCCCGATGGTTACAGAGCTGCATGCATGATGCACAAAATCTATATCGTTTTAGGCACGCTTGGCTATTTATGGATACATGTTCACAGCCTGTGTATACAGAGGTTCATTTGTACCACCCACTATCTACTTTTCAGGGGCACGCTTGGCTGTCTGTGATACCTTTATCACCTCTCTACGAGCGAAGTCTCTATAGTACTATCTATACTGTGTCCTGCACTTAGCCTATCGTCCTTTATACTTCTCTTCTTCTGTTCTTTGTTTTTCAACGTACTCACCCACAGGCGGACTCACTAGCCGACTCTAGAGTAGTATCTGTACTGCGTCCTGGTACTTAGCCCATTTTTCTTCATAATTTTCTTCTTTGTTTGCCCTCGTTCGCACCCACAGACGGACTCACTAGCCGACTTTGAGGTGCCTATCGAAAGCCTGGAGTTCGGCAAATGCATTGGCGAGGGCACATTCGGGACCGTTTACAAAGGCAACTGGCACGGCAAAGTGGCTATCAAAGTGCTCAAAGTGGACAACCCGACAGAGGCACAGCTGTCGACCTTCCGCAACGAGGCGGCAGTCTTGATGTATGGTGGCGTGCTGTGCGCAGTTGTGCGTGCGTATATATATTT